GAACCACCGAAGTGTCGACCATTTCTGGCTGGACAGGATAGGCTAATTAGTTACATGGGTGCACTTTCCTTTCTCCGACTCAGCCAACGTACAAGCACGATCTGGAGAGAGTCCAGAAGATTGTCATGAGAAGCCTGGGAGTTTTACTTCAGAGAACTGATTATGTCCTTCAAGTTTAGAATTTTGAAGAGAGTGAATACAGTAATAGAAAAGCTCACAAAGAAAAGGCACATGTTCAATAGAATTATTTCTTCTTTCTCTCTTCAGAAACCCTGATTCTTCTGTAGGAGGGGAACTGATTTTTGGTGGCTATGATGAAGCTCATTTCAGTGGAAACCTCAACTGGATTCCAGTCACTAAGCAAGGATATTGGCAGATCCAACTGGATAAGTACGTATCTTGTTTTGGGGGGGGGATTCTCTGAGATAATAGCAACTTTTCTAACACTGATGAATGCTAGAATTCAGGGTAATTGTGCATTTAGGGCTCAGACTTGCCAATCGTTCACAGAAGCACCACATCTTTTTCATGAGTCCTAGCCTTCCACTGTTACAATGAGTTGTAATCATCTCTTTACTATTTGGCTGGATGTGGTATGCATTTATCCTTTAGGTTAAAGAGCTATTCTTCACAGATTTAAAAACCAGGAAAGTGATTTGGGTGATGATGTACAGTATATTAAAAATATCATCTGTAACAGAAAAGAAAATAATCGTTCTACAACAGTATTTTCCAATGTGATGCCCTCCAGATGTTGTAAATAATTCCTTGTGGATGAAACAAATTCTGTCTTATTACTTGACTATTCCCCCTTCTCCTCCCCCCCCCACCTCTTTTATATATGGAAAAGCAAAGTAGAGATGTTTAGAATATTGTCTAAGTTTCTTCAGCTTTGCAACCACTGTCCACATTTTAGGAAACAAAGATATTTTTCTCCCATGCCACAACCCAAAATGTTGTACAACACATAGCATCTGATTTACCCTTTAAAATCTTCTGACCTCTATCACCTATACAAGGCACAGATCTTTGCGAAGGGGAACAAGTAAAGAAGTGGCAGACATTAAAACAAAAATAAGAAAACAGTGTTAGGATCAAGTCATCCTATTATAATGCTGGCAGAAGAGGTACCACTGTAAATATCACGGAGAGGCGATTCCTTGCCTTAGCACCAACAAAGAAAAAAAAAATCTCAAGTTTATCTCATCTTCTTTCTTTCCAGTATCCAGGTTGGTGGGATAGTTGCATTTTGTGCAGAAGGATGTCAGGCTATTGTGGACACAGGAACTTCTCTCATCACGGGCCCTTCTGAAGACACAAAGCGAATGCAGACATTAATTGGGGCACAACCAATGGATGATGAGGTAGGTCCCAATTTGGAAACCGTAACAGCCTCCTAAGACTGGTGCTGATCTAGGACAAATCTAAATCTAAAGCTGTCTCTTTACATTCCTAGTTTATCCTTTCTTTTGTTTCCTCTTTTTGTTTCTTTCTATTTCGTTACATCCTATTTCTTTAAACTTTAAAGAAAACTAAAGCTACCATTTGGCAAAATGTGAAGCAGATGCTTTAAAGGGGGGCTTAGGAGAGGCAGTGAATTTGGGCCAACCCCTCCTCCCGTTCCTCTCCTGACTTAGCTTCTGAAGCAGCTGCCTTTTGCTCTCAAAGTTGTGTAACTTTTGAGAGTGGCCTGCCAGTCCTTTAGCTGCCCTATAGATATGACCCCCTAAAGCAATTGTTGGGTGCTGGCCAGAGAATGAGAAATGATGCTGTTGCTGCTGGGCAGAAACACGTGGAAGGCAGTGCATGGAGCAAGGGAGAGGGGTTAGCCCTGGATCCTCTTCCCACCTCAAGCAATCAGTCTTTTTTAAGCACTCTGAGATTGCGTGTTAGGATATTCACAAGCAGCCTTCACAGAAATTTTCTTAAATAAAAAGCAGCATTTGGAGGGAGACAGATTGAGCAAAGCATACGTAAAGGAAGAAAGGGGGTACTTAACCCATACCATACCATGATATCTATTTCTGGACTGAAACCTGGCTCAATGCCTTAGCATATTTGAAAACATCGATTCAGATATGCATGTAATATCTCACAAGGGAAACAGAGTTTAAAAGAAAACGTTTGGAGTGAAAAATAGATATTGTCCATCTTCTTGTCTAGGGTTGTTTTTTAAATTGAAATACTGGATTTGTACTATTGCAAACATATATCAATTGTTCTGCAGTACACTGTGGAATGCAACAATCTCAATGCGATGCCTCTTGTCACTTTCACAATCAATGGAAATCCTTATCCTCTTACTCCAGAGGCTTATACCCTCATGGTAAGTGCTGTTACTCATTTCCTCCTATGCAGTATGGCAGAACATGTGTCATTCTTGGGAAAGCATGGGGTACTATCTTTAGCTTTGCACTGGGTAATGGGGCATGGGGAAAGAGCACTGTTGTATTAGTAAGAGTTTCCCCGTTCAGATGCTCAGCTGGTGTTTTGTGCCTAAGATTCAGAAAAGACAAGCTAGATAAAGGTCAGAGCAGGCTTCCTAAGAATGCATATTAAGGTTGCTTAATGAGAATTAGCCAGCTATTAACACCTTTAATTATCATCATAATAAACAAAACTAAAGAAAGAGGAAAGGACAGATTTTCTTCATTCCGTTTGATAACATACACTGCTTATGGGCAAGTGGAGAGGAAGGAAGGAAGGAAGGAAGGAAGGAAGGAAGGAAGGAAGGAAGGAAGGAAGGGAGGAAGGAAGGAAGGGAGGAAGGAAGGAAGGGAGGAAGGAAGGAAGGGAGGAAGGAAGGAAGGGAGGAAGGAAGGAAGGGAGGAAGGAAGGAAGGGAGGAAGGAAGGAAGGGAGGAAGGAAGGAAGGGAGGAAGGAAGGAAGGGAGGAAGGAAGGAAGGGAGGAAGGAAGGAAGGGAGGAAGGAAGGAAGGGAGGAAGGAAGGAAGGGAGGAAGGAAGGAAGGAAGGAAGGAAGGAAGGAAGGAAGGAAGGAAGGAAGGAAGGAGTTGTGCAAATGCGTATGTGTTTGCCAAGTTCTATTGCTGCTGAAAAGGTGCAGTGGGGAAAGGAATATTTACCACAATGACAGCCTTGTTTGTCCAGAAGGGGGGAAAAAAAACCCTAGATACTAGATCAAAATCTTTATTAGAATTAATTTTGTGGCTAACCTAAAAGTTAAGGTGCAACAAAAAATAGGGGGAAGCTTATTTGATCTTGCTAAGTCAATTTATGGAGTAAAAGAATGTTTAAGAAGAATGGGTTCCCCAAGCCTCCACCTCCCTATAAGCCTAATTAGAATAAATGACTACGACATAAAAAGGTCCAGAGTCTTTGAATTCTCCAGAACTTTTCATTAGGTATCACAACAAACTGGGGCTAATCCAAAAGATTAGGTCAGGTGATTCAACTGTGAGGTCTAACATTTTCATTTTAACAAACCTTCATCTATACATATATATTAGCATTCATAAATCTGTGGCCTTTTTTCTCTTTTTTGCAATGCATTTTATCTTGGGGGTGTGATCCCACCCCACACAATAAAGCAAGCTACTCCCTCTTGCCAAACATCTTAGTCATTATGAGAAGACATATATGCAAAGTTCATAAAGAACATACACACATATAACACTGACTTGAAGGCACCCATATATATTCTTACATGTACCTTTCAGGCATTCCTTCCTTTTTAGGGTAGGAAATTACTCTGATTTATGATGCTATTATTGTACTACAAAATGTATTATAGTGAAGCTAATTTCATTACTTATATAGTTGGCAGCATACCAGGAGTCTGTCTTTTCATACTGACACAAGAATCCTTCGGAGATGGCAGTGCAGAAAGTCTGCTTCTCCCCTGCTCACATTCTTTGAGGTTCAGTTTTATAGATCAGCACATGAAAGGAGAAAAAGAGATGAATGGGAAGAGTCTGTAATATTTAGATACAAGAAGGTGACTAAATGGAAGGCTGAAGAACATACTCTTCCTTAACATGGTGTCTTCAAAAACATTGGACTAGTGCTGCCATCATTTTTATTTTAAACTCACAAGTTGTTACATGTCATGTCCTCAGGCTAGAGATTCCATGACTCCTCCATACCCTCAAGCCACCATTAGAATTTTTCTAATTTACGCTAAAGTGATTGGCTGAGTGTCCAGTCATTGTCTTCTTCCTTCTATCTCAGTCCTTAGCTGCGTGTTGGAAGATCTACAACAATCTTCCCCAGCCTGGTCATCCTCCAGATATAGGGACTTCAACTTCTAGCATTTTAATTTCTGTGTTTAAAACTGCTCTTGCATGTGCATAAATGTTGGCATACAAATCTGAACATGATTGGTTCTCATAATTCAAGTTTACACATCCTCTTTCCCATAGGCCAATAGCGATGGGATGAACCTGTGCACCAGCGGCTTTCAAGGTTTAGATATAGACACTGCAACTGGGCCACTCTGGATTCTGGGAGATGTTTTTATTGGCCAGTACTACTCTGTCTTTGATCGTGGGAATAACAGAGTGGGATTAGCTCCAGTTGTCTCTTAAGAGGCTTAGAGAATAGAAAAATGTAAGCCCCAAGGTCCTATTCTTATCTTCCTTTCAGCAGCAAAATCATACTCCCTATCTGTTTCTTTGTTTTCCATGTGAAATGCAATCAAGATTATGACTTTTATCTACAAATGTAAATCCCTTGAGATTCCGGGAGAAGGGCTGTTTAGGTATGTCAGTTCTCAGTATCAAGAGCTATGCTGATTTTGTCTTCTCTTGTCAAGTAAATTTGAGTACTTCAAACTCAAAATACAGTGTCATAGTCCTAGACTGGAGCTGGGTTCACACAATTGGCTAAGCCATGATTTATTGAATAAAGTGCACTGGTCTAAGTTGATCGTAATTTACAAACCACACTGGTTGGTTTACACAACTTGTTTATCCACACTAATCAAAATATATTTTGACTGAATACCTTGTGAATCCAGCCTGATTGTGAGATTTTCTCTTTGCAAAAGAAAGCAGGTCTGCATCTTTGATCAGCACAATTGTTTACTTTTCTCATTCTGGCCTGGAAACGGGAGGGATTAAGGCCTCCTTAAGACCCTGCTGTTCAACAACAGAGCAAGAAGGCATACTTGCAAATGTATGTAAAATTAATGACTTAAGTAAACAGATGAATGATTAACTGAGAATCTTTTTTAATCATCTGAAACCCTTAATAAAAATAGTTTTTGTATTCCTAAAATAATACTTTGTGCCTATAGCTTTGATATCTCTGTGTGATTTTCTGGAAAGGAAGAATCATGAAGGGTTGAACAATGCATCAACATTCTAAATGCATCAGCAATCCCATAAAGCAGATGTGGGCAGACTAATATGTGCCAAATGTTACCGTGAACGTATTGTCGAAGGCTTTCACGGCCGGCATACGATGGCTGGTGTGGGTCTTCCGGGCTGTGTGGCCGTGGTCTTGAAGTTTTGTTTCCTAACGTTTCG